GTGGTAGTGGTGGTAGTAGTAGTAGTAGTGGTAGTGGTAGTAGTAGTGGTAGTAGTGGTAGTAGTGGTGGTGGTAGTAGTAGTAGTAATGGTAATTTGTAATATATAGTTATTATTAGTGTTTAGCAGCAGCAGCAGCAGCAGCAGTAGGAGTAGTAGTAGTAGTAGTAGTAGTAGTATAAGTAGCAGTAGCAGTCGCAGTCGCAGTAGCAGTAGTAGTAGTAGTAGCAGCAGTGGCTCTCTTTTCTGGAGCTTCCTTGTGTGCATAAAAAGATCTGCAGCAATGCTGTCTGGAACTTGCATGTTGAACATTTTTGGGACCATGTTTTGATATTTTTCCCGAATGCGTAGCGAAGGGTTCTCGTTTAACTCTTGGGGGTCTGGGGGTGGAGCCTTGTTCGTGACCCGTTGTTTCTACGTCCGCAACCGTCCGCGGTAGAGCGCTAAGGCGCTGCCATTGGGGGAAGCTTTTGCAAGTGACTATTCATGGATGTGTCACGTGTCAGTTTGCGCCGCTATTCCATTGTGCTTTGCATGAAAAAGACATGTCGCGCAAGCAACGTGATGCGTTTCGCTGCACAGGCGCAGCGTTTGGTGAGATCTGCAGATTGCTGCGCAGTTCCATTGGGATTAGCGTTTGGAGAGTCGTGTTTTTGGGGTGTTGGATGTGGCCGTGCCATTGGGATTTGCGTTTCAGGGTGTGGCATCGAAGCTCTGTTTTCGTGACAAGTCTCAGCTGAAATGCCGATTTTGGTGGATGGGAGTGTGCTCAGAACCGCTCACACGCCAATCCCAATGTGACAGCGACATTCACCTCTACCAGAACTCACAACCTCCCGATTCTCTGCGCCTGCCACGAATCTTTCCGCGTCCACACGTCTAACGCGCACAAAGTACTGCGCCTGCCACGAAATGTCACCTCCGTCACACATCGCAACCTCACGATTCCCTGCGCCTGCCACGAAAATCCCACTTCCACACCTCAAAACCCGCACAAAGTCCTGCGCCTGCCACGAAAAGTAACAATGTCATCTCATGTGAGCTTCAACAAAATTTGCACCACACCACACGGAATCGCGAAACTGCTTGGCAGGGCAGCGTGATGTGTGTGCTCCGATGGGTGTTTCCACTGGACTTTTGGAGGAAGTCTCGTGCGAAACGCTCGTTTTGGGGACTTGACATGTGACTTTTGGAGGAAGTCTCGTGCGAAACGCTCGTTTTGGAGACTTGACGTGTGAATTTTGGAGGAAGTCTCGTACGAAACGCTCGTTTTTTTTGAGACTTGACGCGTGACTTTTGGAGGAAGTCTCGTACGAAACGCTCGTCTTGCAGCCTCGCAGCGTGACTTTTGGAGGAAGTCTCGTACGAAGAGTGTGCCCTACAGGAGTGTCCCACAAGAGTGTCCTACAAGAGTGTCCCACAAGAGTGTCCCACAAGAGTATCCCACAAGAGTTTCCTACAAGAGTGTCCCACAAGAGTGTCCCACAAGAGTGTCCTACAGGAGTATCCCACAAGAGTGTCCTACAAGAGTGTCCCACAAGAGTTTCCTACTAGAGTGTCCCACAAGAGTGTCCCACAAGAGTGTCCCGCAACCGTGTCCCGCAAGAGTGTCTCACAAGAGTGTCCCTTAAGAGTGTCCCACAAGAGTGCCCCACAAGAGTGTCCCACAAGAGTGTCCCAAATGAGTGTCCCACACTAGAGTCCCACAAGAGTGTTCCGCAACAGTGTCCCGCAAGAGTGTCTCACAAGAGTGTCCCTTAATTAAGAGTGTCCCACAAGAGTGTCCCGCAACAGCGTCCCACAAGAGTGTGTCCCACAAGAGTGTGAGTGTCCTACAAGAGTGTCCCACAAGAGTTCCTACAAGAGTGTCCCACAAGAGTGTCCCACAAGAGTGTCCCACAAGAGTGTCCCACAAGAGTGTCCTGCAAGAGTGTCCCACAAGAGTGTCCCACAAGAGTGTCCCAAATGAGTGTCCCACAGGAGTGTCCCACAAGAGTGTCCCGCAACAGTGTCCCGCAAGAGTGTCTCACAAGAGTGTCCCTTAAGAGTGTCCCACAAGAGTGTCCCGCAACAGTGTCCCACAAGAGTGTCCTACAAGAGTGTCCCACTAGAGCTTCCTACAACAGTGTCCCACAAGAGTGCCCCACAAGAGTGTCCCACAAGAGTGTCCTACAGGAGTATCCCACAAGAGTGTCCTACAAGAGTGTCCCACAAGAGTTTCCTACTAGAGTGTCCCACAAGAGTGTCCCACAAGAGTGTCCTACAAGAGTGTCATTTGGACATATGTAGCTTTTTGAACGTGTTTGCGTTCGGGTTCGTGGGCTCCATCTTGTTTAAAATCCGCCCGCGCCCAAGTTCTGAGGCGTTGTCTCAGGTCGCGTGCGCCGCTGGACTTGCCAGATGGCCTAGCTCAAGGGGGGGTCGCTACTGCTTTTGCTCTAGAATGCTGTGTTTTTGAGCAAGTCGTTGCGCTGCCCGGGTGAGACTGCAGTATTATAACATCGTGCGTGCTTGCCGCTGCGGCCTTCCCGAAAGAGAAGCGAGAAAACTATTGACAGTGCGAATTCTGCTTCCCGAATGGACTGGCATCATTGCAAAAGCGTGTGCGTGTGTGTACCTGCGGATTTCCTTATTGCGGCTGATTGATGGCAACACACCTCAGATAGGCGCCAGCGTCACCGACATCTAAGACGCAACTTTGGGTAATAGGGGGACGCACCAATCGTCGCGGGGTGTTTTTTGGTGTTACTTTGGGTCAATTAGACGGAAGAGCTACCAAAATGGTGAGAATCGGACCACGTTGTATAGCTCAGCAAACCATTTTCGCTTTCGTTGACATCGATCGATCCTGGCTCAGAGAGAGCACAAGTATCCGTGCGGGCAGCTTCGCCCGCGAAGCGGTGTGAATGTGTATTTTTGGTGGTTTTGGAAACTGGATATATATATATATATCATAATCTGGACTGGCAATTTGGCGTAATTATGGAGCTCTTTGGACGAACGCTATATAAATCAATTTTGATCATTTTTGATCTGGATTCTCAACCATCATTGAAATGGGGAGGCCAGTTGCAAATGGGTGAGAACTTAATCAGGGTCTTTTGGTTTCTTTTTGTGTGAAGGTTGGGAAGTTGTTTTGTTAAGGTCAGTAGCAAGGAAGGAAGGAACGAAAGAGGGAAGGGATTCCTGCATTCACGGGAGATGCGGCGTGTCCTGGGATAAGTTACTAGTTCCTTCCTTCGTTCTTTCCTTTCTCTTTCGTCTGACTTTGAAAAACAACTCCCAAAACTCTATCAACAAAGACTCACTACAAAAATTGCCATCCAGTCCAAAACACATCTGGTGAAGGTTCGCAAGCACTTGCTCTTTCAAATGTCCCTGCAAAACACTTCTTCACTCTTC